GAACACAAGCTAAAATGAGCAGAACACAAGCTAAAATGACCCGAACACAAATTAAAATGAGCCGAACACAAGCTAAAATGAACAGAACACAAGCTAAAATGAACAGAACACAAGCTAAAATGAACAGAACACAAGCTAAAATGAACAGAACACAAGCTAAAATGAGCAGAACAAAAGCTAAAATGACCCGAACACAAACTAAAATGAGCAGAACACAAGCTAAAATGAGCAAAAAAACAGCAGCTAAAAGTTACTAAACAGGAGTCAAAAGCTAAAAGTAGCATGAGAAAATAAAAACAGAGTATTTCTGCTGCACCAATAAACGTATTAAACAGTGTAATGAAACGGTAAAGGCTCAAACGGTAAAGGCTCACAGGGTTGCTGGAACTTATGGTTTTGTTATTGGCCACGGTGACTGTGAGCCACATTATGGTGACGATGGAGTTGAAGATGAAGGACAGGAACGTGTTCTTATGGAGGGAGATCCTCTGGCAGCTAAGACTGCTGTAAGAGACAGAAAGATTTATCACTTCAGTTTTGTTCTAAMTGTTATCAGACATCAACCTAAATTTGCTCTGTTGGAATTTCAGTTGTTTTAAGCTACTTTAAAGAGCCTGTGTCATACATATCCTTCAAATACAAAAAGTCAAAGAAAACATCTTTTTACTTAAGAAACTTGGCACAACACACATTTTACCCATTTTGTCACATAACTGGCTTTTTCTTCTGAATTTGATTTAGCCAAAGTGAAACAGGAAGTGACATCAAAGGGGAACACTTTAGGAAAGGAAACTCCCTGGTTTTTGTTTAGTGATTTAGTCTTTTGAAAACAGTGACTCTTCTTCATCTCTCTGACAGTGACTCGAAATAATCTTAAGAAACAATAGATTTTTCTCTACAGTCTGTTTTATTAGCCATTGTGGCAATGCTCTGTTCACATTCTGTCATTCCCCTTTGACATCACTTCCTGTTACTTCACATGCAAATATCTCTACAACTGTTTATCTCAGGATTGTTAATATTTTTGCAGAAAGTTATCTTTCCAAAAACTCATTCATGGATATTACAAAAATTTGATGTCACGTAGGCACTTTCAAACCATTTAAATAAACACTTAATGAAAAGGAAATATTGCTGAGAGAAATTCTCCCTTGACTTACTTTAGAAAAGAAAAGATGATCAGACTGATGATTAAGGAGATAATAGAAAGACCATGACCCACCAAAGCCAGGTAGTAGATACTCAAAGCAAACTGCAGGAAAAAATAAATAATTGATTATGACAAATAAAATTATTCTCCCTTATTGGTTATTTTATTTAAGAATAAAAGCTTTAAACCGTCATACAAAATTTATATTTTATGAAAAAGCTCAGCAACATAAAGCACAAGAAGAAACATTGAAATAAAAACAAAACTCAAGAAAATGCAAATGAAGGCACGTATTCTGCTGACCTTCTTCCTGAAGGGATTTTAAGGAATTCCAACTTTGTCAAAGCAAAAAGCAACAAGCTTAGTTATAAGTTACCCTCTCTGGTGTTCATTAAAGTTTTCACATGTATAATAAAGTTAGAKTGGACTTTGCTCTCAGGTTGAGCTGTTAAACTCAGCATCACACTCAGACACTTTTATGAACAGACTGATGATACACCGAGACAGTGGTGTTGGAATTTAATCAAGACAGTAACACTAACAAAAAATATAATATCAGATGTGTTGAGGCAGAGACACACAGTCGTATAACAAGCATGACATTTTACCTTGAGTTTCTCTTTAGTGTGGGCCTGACAGAGCGTGTAATTACTCCAGACTCTGTTGCTCTCTGGGTGATGGAACCACTGACCATCAGGGTTACACACTTTGGTCACTTTTTCTGTTGGAAGACATAAACCACAGTCTTGGCAACTGTGCTGAGAGTGTTAAATCTGTCTACCCAGTTCATACAATGTGAACTTTTCTTGAAATATGTGTCAAATTAAAGCCTCACCACCGGGGTCGAAGTCGACAAAGTATGTAGGGCACATCTGCAAGGCCGTCCCTGGAGCTGAATCTCCCCAACATAACCAGCCGTCCCACGTACGGTTACAGAAAGGACCTATAGAGCACGTGACATTTACAGTTCAGTGAGTGTGTGTGTGTGTGTGTTCCTGGGTGTCTATCTTTGTAAGAAGCATTTTGACAGTCATTTTGCCCTTGTGAGGACGTCTTGCACGGTCTTCACAAGAGACAACCCCATTTGTGGGTCAGGGGTTTGGGCTATGAATTAGGGGTATGAATAAAATTTAGGTTACGGTTTGGTACTTTGGTGGTTTAGGGTGACGGTTAGGGACTGCAAGACAAACGTGTGTGTGTGTGTGTGTGTGTGTGTGTGTGTGTGCATATTTGCTCCATCATGGGGACCGATTCCAGTAACACGTTCACACTCTCAGCTCGTCACATATTGACGCTTGGTCAGGTTCCCTCTGCGTCTTATTATGACGCGTCGGGTAACCTCTTTGCGTCAGTTATTGACGAACCAGGCATTTCCAGGTTCCCACAGCGTCCGGTTTTTTTGTGTTGGGGTCCGTGGTTAATATTAGAGATCAGGGTTCATGGTTAATTTTAGATAGTGGGGTCAGGGATAGGATGTCTAGGGTGAAAATTAGGTAATTTTAGGGCTTGGGACATGTAGTTGAAGTGAATTATCTACACTTTCTAAAAATGGTTAATTTTAGGTACTAGGGTCAGGGACAGGATGTCTAGAATGGAATGAGAATGGGGTGATTCCAGACAAACACAGCCTTGTAGAGATAAGTGCTCCTTATGGGCACCAAAGCCCGGCCCCCATGGGTATGAATGCCAATTTTAGGCAGGGGATTTGCTTTAGGACCAAGGTGTGAATTGAGTTTAGGCTAGGGTTAAGGTAGGGGGTCAGTGTTAGGCTTTAGAAATCACTTAAAATTTAACAAAAGTCAATGCAAAGTCCGCACGAGGACAGAAAAACCAATGCGTGTGTGCATGTATAATAGCAGTACAAACAATGACCTATTAGTGCCTGGTGCATGGCTCAGCTACTATCACACCAAAAGTTTTGTTAAATTAAAACTGTCCTGATGCATCTCAGTAATCCAGATAGAAAAAAATCAAAAAGAAAAAAATAAGTAGGTCCTCTGGATGGGTTCTTCTTTAGTGAAACATTTTGTCTCTCCTCTAAGAGACTTCTTCAGTTTGATGAGTTTCAGGTGAACTCAGCCTTATAAGCACTGCCTCCACATGGTGGACAAACAGGTTAGTCACATGCAAAAGAGGGCTATCACCCAACAATAGGCTTGATTAGCTCTATTGTTCATAGAGGGTCCTGTGCCCCATCACCTGACTTATTGGTTTGGATGCTTCGGCTGTCGTTATTTGGTGTTTTGTTAAGTGTATGTAGTTAGTGCAAGCGGGGTTTAATGTCCCCTTCTTTTTGTCTCTCTTTCCCTATTTGTGTTGGGTATCTCTCAGGGCCCCAACGATACCCAACACAAATAGGGAAAGAGAGAGAAAAACAAGGGGATATTGAACCCCGCTTGCACTAACTACATACACATAACAAAACACCAAATAACGACAGCCGAAGCATCCAAACCAATAAGTCAGGTGATGGGGCACAGGACCCTCTATGAACAATAGAGCTAATCAAGCCCATTGTTAGGCAATGGCCCTCGTTTGCATGTGACTAACCTGTTTGTCCACCATGTGGAGRCAGTGCTTATAAGGCTGAGTTCACCTGAAACTCATCAGACTGAAGAAGTCTCTTGGAGGAGAGACGAAATGTTTCACTAAAGAAGAACCCATCCAGAGGACCTACTTACTTTTTTCATTTTGACTAAATTAAAACTAATTTTGAGGTTGATTACCATCGGCGGCCATCTTAAACTGCTTTGACTCCGCAAGTCGTAGCTGAACAGTTAATATTTACCTTTTGAGAGTTCCGCTGAAATCCATCCAGTGGTTAATGAAACATTTTGATAACAGACAAACAGGGCTGGCTCCATCAGCTAATGCCAAGGTTTTGAGCGAATATTTTACACTTTGTGTTGATCTGAGGCTCAACTCTTTCCTTTTTTTCATCCAAAGATGATCACAGTTTAAAAATTAAGCCAGAACACCAGCGATTAATTTCCATTTATTGTTGGCCTCATTTCTTTGTTGAACCTTTGGGGTGTAATCCTGTTGCCACAGGAAATTGCACAGCCTGGCATTTATTAAATCTTACACAATACACTCTGACATGGGCTGCTATCATGATTTTATAATATGGCGCTCACAGTGTGTGTAACCTTTACAAGTCTTTAAAAGTTAATCTTTAAAAGTCTTTTACAATTTTTCCCATTGCACCATCTGGTCTTAAAGTAAACTTAAATGTTTAAAAAGCCTTACAGTAAACAGTATATTGAAGTGATTTGCTGTTTGTGTATTTTGAGTTTTGGCTTCTCGAAGTTTGTGCTGTTTGTTTAAAACTTCCCTCTTTGGGGAAATTAAGCACATTACTTGACAAAAACATGAACTTATAGATGAATTGCTTATTTTTTCTTAATATTTTACAGTCTTGGCATGCGCAAAGAGAAAGAAACTAAGTAAAAGCTGAAGAGGAAGTCAATCTGAAAGAAAGGAAATACGCCCTTTGTCTCTATCTTAGCACACGCTACTCCCATTCACTGCCTTTGAAATGTTATTTTGTGCGGCGTTTCCCAACACGCCGCTGTGTGCGCTCAGGTCCCAGCAGGTTTCCGTCCATTGTTGACAAGTTCTRTTAGAGCAACCTGTGGTGAGATGCAGTTTATTTAAATATAACACACCATTGTTCAATGGAGAACTGAAATTATTAATCCTGTCAAATTTTGAACGTTGGCTGCCAGTTTTGTGTGTTTGCGATTGTACTCACTGATCGTGAGTATGGCTCGAGGGCCTTAACGTTCAATTATACATCTGGCACTGGTGTGTGCAGCATTTTTCTTTGGGTTTGGTGCATTTATTTTTAAGCAAAAGTGCAACAATGTTTTTGTCTGTTCTGTCTGTGTTTTTGTTGCCTGTCATATTAACAAAACATCTCATGAATCAGTGGACAATTTTTGAGAACAATACTTATTGTGTGTTCACCTAAAACTGATAATTTTTTGTTAACTCAATTCAAGATGGCCGCCACTGTTAATCGACCTTACGCAAGACAAAGACGGGTGCAACTCAGTCAGTTTTACAGCTACTGAGCTAAAGAAAAATCATTTTTATTTGTAAGACTACACAACAACAACAAAAACATGCAATCAAAAATAAAATCAAAACAAAATGAAAGGCAGCAGAAGAATAAATCTTATAATATCTGCCCCTTTTTTATACCCAAAATATGTTCAAAATAAAAGCAAATTACAGCAAAAATCAAAACAACTGAAAACACACAAAAAACTAAAAACAAAGCTAAATTTAAAACACCAACTCAAAACAACAATTAGCATTAATTCACTTATGCTTCTCCATATTTCTTCAGAATACTAGATTTTATAATTCTCTTTAATATATACAAGGATCTGGCATTTTTAACCTCATCTTCCAAACCATTCCACAAACTTATTCCCTGGATTAAAGTGGTTCGTTCCTCAAAATTTGTAGTGGTAGTAGTTGAGCCTCACCTCTTGCCTACACTCTGAGCACTAACTCATTGTGTGAGCTCTGCTTTTAAAACTTTGCAAATAACTATTGGACTCAACAATGTGTGTCTGTTAGCAAAAATATCTCACGAACCACTAGAACGAATTTATTGAATCTCTCAAAAAGTAACAATTGGATTTACATCTGCAACTCATTACCATTCAGAGAAGCACTATTCAACTGGGGCCCATAGCTCAAGGGCCAGACTATATGGGAAAAGAACAAGTATTGCAGCAAATCCTCAATTATGACACGAGCTTCACTGTGTGCAAAATTTGCAAAATGAAGATGAGGCACTTTAGGAACACGACAAATGGGCTCACATTGAGTTTTGAGTGAAAAAATGATTTTGAATTGAATCGTGACCCCAAAAATCTGAATCGAATCATGAGAGAGTAAAAGATTCGCCGCCAGTTGAAAAGACAACCACCAGACGGATGCCACCACGTATTGAAAACACAAAAACTGGTAAAACACAGTTCATTTTAAAGATACTAAGCTAAAAACTGTAGTGGTAGATGAAAGTCTTCCTCAAACTTGTGATAGAAGCTCTAACAGAAATAAGAAATCAATAAATCCATATCTGATCAAAATAGCTATATTTGTCCACTTTTTGTACAGCACAAGTAATGTTATTAGATTAGTAAATGTCAATCAAACCGCTCTATCTGCCTTTGGCAAGAAAAATAACCCATGTAGCCAMATATCACCTTCTTCGGCTCGCGGTGGATCCGTGATCATCCTCAGGTAGCACTCAAACTGGGCCGCCAAGATTTGACGTCTTGAGTCTCCAGGTAGGACAGCTATTTCRCCGAAATTCTCCGGCAACTCCTCCGTCTCTTCTGCAGACACCAACAACTCTACATCCTGAAACTGGGAAACCTGGACAGAGGGGGGATGCTCGTTACGTCGCCGCGAGTAAATCAAGTCACGTAATCCTATAAAATATCACATTAAGTTGCACTCACCTCTGTGCCCAGTGCCAAGGACATCATCAGTGAGAGCATGAGGCTCCTCCACATCTTTAAAGGTGAGAAAAGGACAAAGACAAAGCTAATTTAAATGCAAGTCATGCAAGAACACATCATTAGGTTGAACCAGAACAATAACAGTAAATAAAGTATTCTATAGCTGTAACGCAGTAATCCAAACTCAAAAACGTCTGGTTTCATGATAACGCTGGGTTCAATTTATTTACATTATGTGTATTTTCTCAGCAATCAGAACAGGAAGTTCATGCTCCAGCAGTCATTCCTCTCCGCTGTCCACTCGGGGTCACAGGAACAGATGTGTGTTTATTATTGTTTTGGGTAAAAGGCCAACAAATTCCCTCGGAGGTTTCATGGTTAATGAACTGGCCAGTGACATCTCCAAGATGTAAAGCAACACAAGACAAATTGCATTTTCTGTGAAACGTGAAAGCTGAGCACTGAATGGGTTTGCTGCTACTTGTTGTATTAACAAGATGAGCAGAAGCTAAAGGGCTCGACACACGGGAGGCGACGTCGCTCGCTCTCCATACATTTCCTATGGAGCCTGTGCGGTGAGGCGACAATCGCTCGCCCTCCTCCAGCTAAGCGACCGGCGAAAATAGTGCATGTGAAATTTCACGCTCGTACACGTAGATGTGCACACGCGAGCTTGCGAAGCGACATATGAAAGTTGAAAAATGTTCAACTTTTGTCGCTGTCGCTTAGCGTATAACAATCAGCGAGGGTTTCATTGGCTGAGCAATGAGAGGAGAGTATGCTACACACTGCAGTTAGCTAACACTTTCACCAAGTGATTACTAAAAAGCTTTGTGGGAATTTATTGGCACCAGGGTGAAGTTTATGGTAAGTTTTTCCTCATAAAACTGTATCTTGACGTGTGTTTGTTTTTCAATATCATTAGCATCGCAAGATCTGTTTAGTTTACACGTCCGTAATGCATATTCGCCTTCAGAGTCAAGAACCAATCAAATTTTGTGAAGACAAGCGATCTGAGAGCGCGATTCGBARYRCTGCGATCGCTATCGCGTCCCGTGTGTCGGGTTTCACCCTGGCTGCGATGACAGCCGTTAATTGCTGTAGTTTGTCGCTCCCTGTGTCGAGCCCTTAACAGAAGCTTAAAGCTATTAAACCGATTACTTAACTGTTAATTTTTGCTTAAAGCTAAAATGAGAAAAAACATAGCTAAATGCTACTGATAGAAAAACAGTAATGAAAAGCTAAATATAGCTAAAAGCTAAAGTGACCTAAACTTTACCTAAAAGCAAAATGTAGCCAAGCTGTAGGTGCGGTTTGTGCTCACATTAGGCATTTTTGCGAGCAGACTATAATTTATAGCCAAGTGATGATGATAATGGCTCTCATTGGACAGAATTGACGGAGGCGGGACAGAGCACAGGCCTGGAAAGAAAGATGGTGCTGTTAATACAATTTCTATATCATTTAGAATTTCAAGAGCAGCTTTTACAGCGGCAGTTTTGTGATGATATACTTCTAATTTTGGAACGGAGTTGGCAAATGCTGCAACCCAAAGGAAACAAGATGCTCTGTGCGCTCTGACCCACAACGGCTCATTGTTTGTAGCGAAGTGTTAGCATTAACAACACTGAAAGGCTAATCATTACCGTGAAGCCTAACAACGGTGGCTCGTGAAGTCCAAAAAGGTGAATGTTTCCTGTAGTTGGTTTGGTTCGAGGCCGGAGGCAAACCGCACCAGAGTTAGTTTGGAAGCGGACCGAGACCACCTCAGAAATGGGTCTTGGTCCAGTTGAGTGGTCCGCACCCAGTGTTGCCAGGTGTACGATAATTATCGTATTTGTACGATAATTTTGCCCTCTGTACGATGTACGATCAATAATCCCAAAAATCCCATAATGTACGATAATTTGACCGCTTCAGAGTATGACGTAATCGACCCGACACGCTGCTCGCTGACATGAGAGGTGACGGGTTGTGGAACACAGCGGTGATGATTTAGCGACTTCCTCGCTATATTTACAGAGTTTTCAGACCCTCTAGTGACTGTTATGCAGAAAAGTGACTAGTGAAAATCTAGCGACTCTTTTTCTGGTGTTATTGAGACTTATAGAGACTCTGCCGTGAACACATTTCTCCA